GGAAAGAAGAAAATGTATCCAGTCTGAGTGCGAGAGTCTAGAGATGTCCCTTCTAGAGATGGGACTGCAGGCCTGGAAAGCCACAGAGAAATTAGGACTGAAGAAAATGGTATGAAAGACATAAACAAAAATGTGATCATTTAAAGACTGCACAGGAGCAAAAGCAACAGAGAAGGGAGGCAAAGGGCATATCCTTAGAAAAGGTACATCCAGAGAAAGAAAAATGGCTTGAGAGGTAGCAAAAGATAAAAGGCAAAAGACAGAAAGGAGAGAGGAGGAGGAGAAGGAGGAGGAAAAAGAGGAAAATGTATTTTGGAAGCCAAAACAGAAAAAATTTCAAAAAGAAGAAAGAGGTTAGGTGTGTTCAGTGCCACAGAGATAAAGAGATTTAAGAAAAGGCCTTGGGTTTGACGATGAGGAAGGTGGTACAATAATCTTGACAAAATAGTTTGAGGGCAACAGTGAAGATGGAAGCCAGGTTTTAAGAGGTTAAGGAATGAATGTGTAGTTGGATGGCGAAAGGTGGAAAAGTAAAGAAATAAAAGGAGCCTTAGAGGATAGTAGGATCAAAGAGAGTGAATAAATTATTTTGAATAAATAATTATTGAATGAATAAGGCTGTGAATTTGTGTCACCTAGCTAACTGTTAGGAAAAGCCAGGTTTTCATTATAGCAAAAAAAGTATTATGAGCTTTTAAAGAAATGGACAAAAGAGATTTGTTCACGGAAGAATGGAGTCAGCAGAGAAGCAGACAGGAGTAGCGGATAAAAGGGAGATAGGGCTGATGTGTGTGAGAATAATTTGCAAGGAATGCGGAGGTTGGACTCAGAAAAGAGGAATGCAGGAGGCTAGGTGGTGGGCTTGAGGCATGATGGAAGAGTACTAACCAGATCCAAAATTTAGGCTGAAACTCCAGACCTGTTACCCCACACAAACTTCATTTCTTTAATATAGCTTTTCTTCTCTGATTCAGGCCGGTTTTGCCCAGATAATGGCATTGTGACTCACTGTTGTTGTTGTTGTTTTTTTTCACCCTTATCCTTCCAGCTTTGGATGCCTGCTCCATTAATCAACTAAGCCTCAGGTCTACAAGTTTTGGTTAGACTAAGGATGATAACATCTTGGCTTTAGATGTGTTTCAGCCCCAGGCCCATTGAGGTAGAACTACCCGACCAGCCACGGGACCAGACCATGGGCCCAGACCTAGGGACCAGATGAGATGGCACCATGGCTGATTCCAGAACCTGACACGATGATCAATTACCCCATCCCCATCCAATCATCAGTGCCCACAAACCCAAATCCTTTAGTTTCCGTGCCTACTGATGTTTCCTTATATAATCTGTACTCCCAAGACACCCGGGGAGCTAGGTTGTTGAGAGCAACAGCTTGCCTGTGTCTCTGAGACTTGCAACTCTCTAAAGAAACCTTACTTTCTTTGCTGCAAAACCTGCACATATCTCTTCTTTGCCTTAGACATGCACAGGCAAACAGGCCCCTTTTTGTCCCAGTAACAGTCCTACCCTTACCCTGTTTCCCCGTCACCCCTACTCCCTGCCCTCTATCCCAGGGTATAGACCTCTGCAATGCTATTCCCTGTTTGGGGCTTAGTGAGGTAGTGTTATTTTTTAAATGTCTTGCAGAATTTACACAATAATCTTATGTAGTCTTAACCCTGCTTGTTTACCAAATAATGTCCAGACTCTGGTTAAACATGCAGGCTCTGAGGTCAAATGAGTTGGGTTTGAAATCCTAAGTGTACTACCTATCAGCTATATTACTTTGAGACAAATTATTTGATCTCTCATTATATCCATTTCCTCATCAATGAGATGAGAATAATAAGTTACTAATTTTATAAGATTATTATGAGGCTTAGATGTGTTAATACTCATAAGGTGCTCTGGGTAATACTTGGCATGTGGTAAACATTCCATAAGTGTCAGCTATTTTTATTCAAGAAATTACCTTTCAGTGCGATGGTCTGCTGTTCTTCATGAACTCTATATTATAGTTCCACAAGGTCACGTTCAGTTATTCATGCAACACACATTCATCAAGCACTTGTAATGTTCAACACTTGCTATGGGACTGTGGATAATGACAGACAATGCAAATACAAGCCCTGGGCTTATGAAGCTTATAGTGCAGCAGGGGGACATGAATTAAATCGATACTGTGTGCTCTAGAAGTTTATGATGGGGGTAGGAGGCCCAAGGTCAGAGAAGACTCCCTTGAGCAAGAGAAGTCTGAGCTGAGACCTTAGTGATGAATGGAGTTAGTCAGTGAAGGAGGGAGGGAAGAGGGTGCTGTGCCTCAAATTTATCTTGGACTTTCCCATTTCCATGCCTTTGATCACTTTCTCCCACTAGAACACCTTTCCTTTCTGTTGAAACGCTACATGCCTTTCAGGCCCAGCTCCTTCATAAAGCCGTTCCCTGAGCTCTCCAGCCAAAAGCACTTTCTCCTTTATGCTCTGAAAGCACTTATTTTTCATTTTCTTTGGACATTTCTCACTTTCTACTGTATTTTCTGGTTATTTATACACACAGTTTATCTTGTCTACTAAATCTTAAACTTACGAAGAACAGACTCTGTTTTTGTTTCATCTTTGAGCTCCCAAAGGCTGGCACATTCCTTACACTTAAGAGTCCTGGAACAAATATTTGCAGCATAAATTAATGCCTGTTTGACATCCCTTTTCAAATATGTTGTAATTCAAATAAAGCTTTGTTGCAAGCTACTGAGCTTACTCTTTGGTTAAACCAGAATGCCATCGTCACGGTCCCCATGACTGATCAGTGTTTGCCACAGTAACTGCAACAACCCTAACAAATGGGCCACTGTTCTTGACTGACAGGCATTTGGCAACAACTGCTTGTCTTCCCGTGGAGGCTGAAATGAACTGAGGAAGGACTGTCTGAATTGAGTCCCCAGCCAGAAGGGCTCTATTTATTCCTTGCAGTTGGGCTGCAAGGCCAGTGACCCAGGCTTTAGACTGATGTGAGGCTACAGAGCTTTCTAGGGCAACAGAAACACGAATGCTTGAAACAAAATCATCAAAGATCAGTTTCAGAGGACAGCATTCTAATTTGAGGCAGCGAGATAACAAGGGGAAGGGAGCTTTGAAGTCAGATAGACCTGGTTTTGGATCCTAACTAGCTATGATCTCACCCACATGCCTTTTCTTTGAGCTTCAGATTTCTTCTTGAAAAAATATTCTGCGATACAGTTGTGAAGATCAAAGATAATGTCTTTACATACATAATGCCTCTGCTCTACTAAAATATTTTTATTTATCTATCTTCCCCAATATAGTTTGCTTCCTGAGGGCAGGGACTAATTTTTGCCTCTATGCCTGCAAATCTATAAAAGTTCTCAGCACTTAGTAGACATTGTAAATATTTTTTAAACAAATGAACAACAATGACAACAATTGTAATAGCTAACATTATGGAGCACTTACTTCATGCCAGGTATTATTGTAAATAATAATTCATTTAATCCTTCAACGACCTTAGAAAGGAGCAACCATTATAGTTCAATTTTACAGAGAGAAACAGAATATCATTTTTTTAAATATAAAATTCTTGGTATAACTAATTTTGAAATAAAAATTGGGTGAGATCCACTTTATATTAAAAAGGTAAAATACTTTATTAATATTAGAAAAAAATATGGTGAAAGGAGAAATAAGGAAGAAAATAAACATGAATGAATAGGGAAAAAGAGTAGGAAGGAGAATAGATATAGACACATGAAAAAAGGAGAAACAGAAAAAAGTAAATTCTGAGCAGATTGAAAAATAACCACTTAATCAAAGTAATATCGATCACTGTTTTCTGAAATAGTAATTAGTCAATTAATCACTCTACCCAGCTCCTCAACTGTGATTTCTTTGTCCTTAAATTTTCTTCTTAAACTCTGTGAGTGACAAGTAAGCAAAGACTTATCTTTCAGAGCATTACAAAAACTGAAGAGGTTTCCATCTAGTAAAAAATGACATCAAGTTATTTCCAAAAAAGTAAATGTCATGAGCAAAATGTAAAAGCAAAGAGTACATTTGAAGAACATAGAATTGTCTTTTCACAGCTGAAGCTTAAAGTTCTCATACAGGAAAGTGGAAAATACTTCTGGAAGGCCTTAAATAGAGTAAAGGATCAGACATATATTCAACAGACAGTGGTTGCTGTTAAAGAAACAACAGTTATAGTTTGGAGTAAAATTTTCTAGTCCTGAGTGTAGAAGACCAGAATTATTGCTTGTGTGTGATACTGGGCAGTCCTTACCCTAAACCTGTTTATCTTCAAAATGGGGGTAATAAGGCAGTTGTGAGGATTGAATAAGATTTAAAACAAGGTGTTTGCTTTGAAAATATTAAAACACTAAAAAAAAGTAACTTTTCATTGTTATGAGGCAATAATTAATGCTTAAAGAAGACTGAAATGGTAAAATCACTAACACGATGTCTGTAGGATTGAAAAGGGGGCAATTTGAATGACATTTTTGGGGAAAAAAAAGACTTCATTGATTCCAAGATTATTTACAAATTTTTCATTTAGTGATTAGGAAAAAAATAATTTAATCATAGAAACATGAAAATCAGAGGGGAATTAGTTGGGCTTTAAACACTTCAAATGTCAGAAGAACATCTGTTAGAAATGTAGGACTGGAGCTTGGGTAGGACATCAACTTAAGAACTCTGCATAGAGATGGTAAAGCCATGGAACAGAACAGGTTACTAAGTAAGAGTTAACAAGAAAAAGAGGGTGTGGGTATCTTAGAAGCGTCTATATTTAGTTGGAAGAAGAACCTGGGTAAAGAGACCAATTAGGTACAATTCAGGGAGGATAGTGAGTTTCATCATATCCAGAAAAAGAATCTTTTTAGATGTAGATGAGCTACGTGATTCAGTCTAATTTAGTGAAAATGAATTTGTTTAAGATCTGGTTGGAAGGGTTTGGGGCCTTTATCCAGCCATGGAGCAGAAAATTAACAGTCAGTTGCTAGTGATGATGCTAGTGCTTATGCGCTGTCTTAGATTACGATTGGTGAAAGGTTCAAAGACGAATACAGGATTTTTTGTTTTGTTTTGTTTTTTGTTTTGTTTTTGAGTGGTCCTGAGCAGTTCTTTTGGGCATATATGTGGCCTTCTAGGTTTTGTCCCATAATATTCCATTTTTTAAAATTCTACATTTATGTATATTATCACAAGGAGTTTGTCCTGCATCAATCATACTTTCGTGTTTTGCCTCTCGGTACTCTAGCTCCTAGAAGGAGGCTTTGGTAGCTTTTTTTCCTGCGTAACCAAGCTGGCCGCAGCCAGCAGATGGCACTACATCAAGAGGGGCACAGAGTCCTTTTAGGATCTTGTCAACCACTGAGGACGCGTAACCTTCTAATTTCAGCCTCAGAGGACTGAGAGTCGTTCTCTCGCCTAGACTCTAATAAAGCAGGTCGAGTTGTGTACAATCAAGGATTTCAATTTATAAAATGGAATCTGTGGCTTTGTCTCTTCCATCCCATTCACACCACTAAAACCTGACGATACCTATCGTCAGCTTGTGAACGTGTGAGCAGCGCTGTCCAGATATCGCGGATTCCTGGTCAAAGTGGCGGAGGTGATCAAAGCATTAACGAAATACAGGAGATAATCGAGACTCTCCTGAAAGTTTAAAGAAAAATCCACGCAAACAGACAATTATCTGAATGTTTCCTGACAATGTGGAGCTTTAGGATCTGAAATATGTAACTTGCGTTTGTTATAATGTTCCTTATTTCATTTCAAAAGTTCAGACGTAGCCTGACTATCCAGATTCTATAGGGAGTAAGAAAGGTCAGCGGAGCAAGGGCAGTCCTGGGGCCGCAGGAGCCGCCTCTTGAAGTCCAGTACCGAGATCTCTCGGTTGCAGGTCGGTTGCTACACAGACACACAGACACACAGACACACATACACAGAGTCGCACACACACACAGACACACACACACATACACACACAGACACACACACACACACATACACACGTCATAGTACAAAGTGCAAAGCAAACAAGTCAGGGTACGCCCCAGTACTAATTCCGCCCGACCAGCGGAGGAGACTTGGTTACCGTGGCCACGTAGGAACCCTCCCTGATAGCGCGCTTTTTACCCATAAGTCAGCACGTGAGTTCCACCCCCAAGGTCTCCCTGCCTCGGCAATCTGCTAGCCACCCCTGATTGCGTTCGACGCTCGCCTCTCTGCCCTTGCGCCTGCGTACTACGGCTCCAACCCGTCGCTGCGGCCGAGATCGGGAAGTGTCAAGCGGGTGCTGGTTCCCCCGCCTTCGCCACTATCACCGCTGATCCCGGACCCCCTAGCCAGGCGCGTGCCCAGCCGCGATGACAAACGGTGAATGCCAATGCTCAGAGAGAGGCTGGGAGGGAAAGATGAGGAGAAACGTGGCGGGTGGGGCCGGGGCTGACGTGGTCATTCTCTCCGCCCCCTCCCCTTGCAGCCCCTCTTGGCCTCTGAGTGCCTCAGACTCCTGTCCCCTATACCCCTCCGCGGTTCCCCGTTCCCATGGTTCATGTAGAACCGTAGTGCCTCTCGTACCGAAACCCCAAGTCCTCGGTCCCTGGTCTGTACCTCTCTTCCTTTCCTAGAAGTTCGTTCTGGCCCTTACAAGCCTCTTGGAGAAGCCAGTCCCTTTTGAACTATTTGCATTAGCACCAGTGAGGAAAGTGTAAGATAAGCTTAGGAAAATTGTAGTCATATGGATTCTAACTCTTGCTATTTCCCTTAAGCTTTAACATTTTTTGCCTTAACATTTTCTTCATCAACAGATGCAGATCTGAGAGACTTGGCCACATTTCTAGCTCTCCTTTATCACTTGAGTGATTTATAATAAGAACGTCTTTAACTCTCTCAACTAAGGCTCAAAGGATTCTTATGCCTCTTTCAACCTCTTGCCAACACTGACCATTCCTGAGAGTCTGATTCCACATCAACTGATGCATGCTTCTCAGGACCCGTGGTTAGTTAAAGGGGAGGAGTGCATAAGGTGCAGTGAAGTTGTTTTAAGGGATGCCTAAAAGCAGTTTTAGGGAATGAGGTGACCTTCCTAGTCCCAGGACCTTGGCTTCCTCTTGACAAGGGTTGGCACTGCAGTTGCAGTTATCGTCTTGATAGTATATCACACTCTGTGCTTCTTGGAGTTCTCCAGTGGGATCACCTGCCCCAAACTGGATAAGCACCAAAGATTTTCTTTTCTTCCTATAACAGTGTACTCTTTGGATGGGATTCTGGTGTTTGGTTTGCTCTTTGTTTGCACCTGTGCCTACTTCAAGAAAGTCCCTCGTCTCAAAACCTGGCTGCTGTCAGAGAAGAAGGGAGTTTGGGGTGTGTTTTACAAAGGTAAGATCATATCTGCACAGGAAGAGGAGATTGCCATCTCTAGACAGTGAGGTGCTACAAAGTGAGGGGGGAGGTGAGATAGACTAGGATTGTATTTGGTTCCATTTTTACATAATTGTTTATTTTAGCATCAAGGTAATTTTAATTTTCTCCATGGAGTAAAAGGATATAAATTAAACATTTAGACTTGACTAGAATTGTTGGAAGGAATATTTTCCCAATGAGAAGATTTTCTGAATTTCTGGGAAGAATATATTGGAGCTTTTTTTATTTAATTTTTTAAGTTTTTAAGTTTTGATTTAATTAACTCAGATGCTTTTTTACTTCTTACTTTGGGCACCTTTATCTGGAGTCCTACCTACCTTAGTCTGTTTTCAAAATAGGGCAAAATATAAATAAATAGTATATTCACCTAGAACCTAAAGCCACAAGGGTAGTATTTAAATACATTCCCAGTGGGTTCTTGAGACCCTTGATAGGTATCTTCATTTATGATTAGAGATTTCAAAGTATCACCTTGAAAGTCAGGACTTACATGAAGGGCAAGATGTGATTTCTTTTCTCTTTTTACTTTTTGCCTGCTAGCTGCTGTGATTGGAACCAGGCTGCATGCTGCTGTGGCAATTGCCTGTGTCGTCATGGCCTTTTACGTCCTGTTTATAAAATGAATTCCCAAGCATCCATCTCATCAACGGCCAACCAAGGGGATGAAGGTGAAGAACCTGTCAGGGGCCTGGGCCCAGCGTAGAAGAGTTCAGCTAAAATCATCAAAGTCCCCAGGATGACACCACAGCATCTGCCCCTACCATATGTGGGGAAAACTCCTCATGGTTACAAACATTATTTATGCTTCAGGGGACTCCAGAAAGCCAATTTCCTTTATGTGTAAATCAGTCCTCAGCAAAAAGCATATAATGTCCAGATAAATTACACCCCTCGTTGATAACGTTATACACCTCCTGCTTAAAAACCTGTCACCTATTTTGCTCCTCAGCCCTCATCAGGGTCTTTTCAAACTGAGGCTCATTAGAGAAAGCCATAAGCTGTGTTCAAATCTCTTGGAAGGAGATAATTTTCAGGACTGGACGTTTTTTTTTTTTCACTATTTAATTTGAATTTGGCAAATTGGCAGGGGGCTTGCCAAGTTGTACGATGCCAAGAAATTTTTCAGCTTTGGGAATTTATCTTTCATATACCCATCTGGGAACATAAGAGAAAGGCATGGTCCTCACTGCAAAAAGAGAACATATGAAAGAGGTGCTGTGTGCTGGAAGCTGGAGAGTTTTGCCAAGAGAATCTGGGCCTACATAAGATTTGGGCGTTATCTGTGATGAGACCAGAAAGCAATAACTCAGACAAGAAGAAATGTTCTGTACACCAGTATCCCCAAAAGGAGACTCTACCCCATCAAATGATATATTGAAAATGAATCTTGTTGCTATTTTCCTGAAGCCTTTTTATATTTTCAAAATTACTGAGAGCTAAATATATTACTCAGTTTTAAATGCCACCACTAGGGGAAAGAGAGATGACTGAAGAAATAGTTGCTTAATATATTTGTAGTTAGGGTAGAAGAAATAAGTCTAGTATATTAATTCATATACTAGTGAAGTCATGTAGTTTAAGATTTTATTGTGATGTTAGATGGGAGTTTTGTCATGTTATCTAAGATAGAAACATTCTTTGTTTAAATCTGGGTTATGGAAATTTTTAGTTGATTACTTGTTTTTCTTGGCCATCTCTTAATTTTGCAGTACTCTTCACTGTCTCTTGGAAATTCTGTATCACATGAACATGAACAAATTTGAGTAAGAGAAGTTGCTGATATTCATAAGCATGTTAGGACAGTTCGGAGACTCCATGAATAAAACGAGGGCGGTCTTTAAAGTAAAGGAAAACAAAGGTTTGCAACTGAGATTGATGGCTTTTCCGTGGAGTATAGCACCTCCTGAGTCAATCATTTTAGCTGACTCAACATTTCAAGGGAAGACTTCTCCATTGCCCCTCCTTCTAATCTGCAAAAGAATCAACTGTTGCCTTTATGAAGCCTAGAACTTCTTTAAAAAAGTTAGTCTAAAATTAAATTATCGTAAAAAGCAAGCACGGACATAAGTTTGCCAGTTGAATTGACCATTAAAGTAAAACTTGACTGTGGGCAAGTTAGCTGTTGTTGACCCCTGTGTCAGTTAATTGACGTTTGTCTTACCCCAAGAGAACAAAAGCTGCTAGGAAGTGTAGGTTCTCAAATAGGCAGTTTAGTGCTTTGAGGGGTTCTAGAAATATAGAAAGTCATCAAGTAAACACTACATGTTTAATCATCTCAAAGTTGTGGCTGTTACCTCTTCAGGAACTGGTCCACAGGATAAATTTCAATGACTCATATGTTTTCCAAGTTCATTTCTGAGGATCTTTAATATGAGAGAAAGGAAATCTGTTGGCACGTGAAGGAAGAGGTATACCTCCTGAGTGTGAGTTTGGGACCTGTTGGCCAATGGGAATGTCACTCTCTAGAAATACAGAACGTTTGTACTTGTTACTTTGTAGCTTTAAGGACTTTTTTTTTTTCTAATAGGGCTAATGTCTCTAAGCTTGGTGCTTAGAGCTGCTTCATATTTTACACTAGTTCCATTTCAGAGTTCTAGTTATTCAAACCAACTTTTATAGCCTCCTGGGTGGGTCATCTTGACCTAAACTCTTGAATTGTTATATTTTGAGATGTTTTCATACCAGAACGTACCAAAAAGTACACAGAGTGAAGGTAATTTACAACAAGAAACAAATACACAGCTTATTTCATTTGACTTTATGTAAGCAGATAAGCAACCTGTTTAACTTATTATTTTGCTTGATATGTCATATATTTTTGACTGAAAATTGTAGAAGTTGTTCCTCTTATGAGAGTCTTATGGGTGGAAGAATGGGAATAGCAGTATCGCCTCTGATTCAAACTGGCATCACCAGGGTGGAATTGAAGCCAGCTTTTCATAGTTGAAATACAATTTTTTATTCACCATTGTCTGCACAAACCTTGAAATTAAAATTTTCTTTGTCCATTTTATTTGTTACGTTCTGAGTTTACTGAACTTTGTTCAATACTCCCTTGGGTTCTGCCCATAGTTTTTCAGTTAACATTCGTGAATACCATCATTCCTTTTAACCCCTTTTGATGAACACTGAATGTATGATGTAGTTCAGGATCTATGAGAATGTAGCTTTCTCTTTTGTGGGAGCTGATGTATAATACTGTCTATATCAGCATATATATTTTATATATATGAATAAATTTTGAGGTATCTTAAAATAGATGATACTCCCAAATATATTTTACCTACTATTCCTATTTGCCATTACCAGCCACGAACTTCATTCAAGTGATGTTATCAGGTTAACCATCCACGCACATAGAAATTCTTTGACCTAATGGGATTCTGACACATACATTAGATACTGCTCCCTTATGCATTTATTCCAAGTATATGGTGGCACTCGTACAGATACAAATTATAACTTCACAAATCATTTTCTACTAATTCCAAAATCCTGATTTTTATTCCAGCCCCATACATACACCTATTTCATTGAAAAAGGATAAAGAAGGAACTGAGACATTAAAATGGTGCTCTCTGAAAGGAGCTGATTCTACTTATATGATCACTACTGATTTTCACTACTCCTGGAGTTTGAAAGTGATATGTTTTAATGGATGTGAAGGTAAATGAAGTTTCAGCAATATGGCTGCTACAGCCTCAAGTTCTGTGGAGCAAGAGGACTCTGTATGTGAGGACAGGGATATGCTTCCTATCTTTACTCATTTCACAGATATCCTGACTACCTAGTCTTTGATTTAAATAGTTTATTGTCACCCTTCTGTTTGGTAAAATGATTTTGTTGTCTTCCTTGTGGGAAGGAGCTCCTGGAAATGCTGGTGTTAGGAATGACCAGGATTTGCCTTCTCCA